AAACCTGCACAGCTTTGGAAGATCATGCAAATTTCACACCCTCGGTGAGTGCAGGAATTCCCAATGCTGAAGGAACTGAGGCAACGCCATAACTCACTGAGCCACAACGGAAGGATATAAAAAAAAGCAATTAATTAATCTATTTATACAATTTCAAGTAGTAAATGCAGTGCTATTCGTAGAAAATAGATGGAATTTTGCATCATAAAACACGGGAAACACTACTGGACGATGCGGAACAGGCGTTATGTTATCTATGGACGTAACCTTCACAATGGAATCCCCAATCGCTATCTGGAATTACACTCAGGAAACCACCGTGGCGAGCAAAGATAATAAATTGGGATTCCGAGCCATATCCCTGGAGCGTCAAAAATGCCAGGCCATGCTTGCCAGGTTCTGAACGGACCTTTGGCTCAGAGCTTCTATCTGAGCAGATGGCATTGCACCCAGTGCAATAACATAATCAGCTGTAAGGGTCCGGAGTGATGCGCTATGAAGCTTGCGGTCTTGTTGCATGATGAACATGTGGCCATGATTTAACCAGTGTTTAGAGAAGCGGGACTCCATGTGACCCCCCCCCTGGAAATCAGAATAGCACAGGAATTATGATGTACGTGAGGTATCGTTCATCCAGTGAGCGTGCGGGGGGTCTGTTGGGTGCGGCTGGGCCTGTCTGGCAGACGTCCCTCACAAACCGAATGGCTGCACTAGGGTATTGAAGGCCCAGTCGGTGCCCCTCTTCCATCACGGACGTTCTCTTTTCTCTCTTTGCACAGCTGACACGGTTAAACAAATTAAACCTTATCTGATCCTGACTCGATGGATTCCTCATGATGTCAAACGAGCCTTTCAGAAACCGGGCCCCGAAAATGCAAACCATGTGCTGCATTAGTGATGCGAAATTCTGTTTAGCAAACAAGCTGAAAGCTGCCTTTTGTTTTGTTTTTTTTTCCCTGCTCCTTTCCCTCGCTCCCCACTTCTGAGCGTATGTACGTGCACACCGCAATGACTCTGACATTCCTTGATGTAGTTCTTTAGGTTGAACTGCATGCTGGGTTGTCATGGTTTACGAGTTTTAGAGCTCTACCCAGCGTTTCAGTAAGAGCCTTGTTTACTTGGGATGGGACGCCATCTCCCACCTTCACACGCCATGGTAATTACTCACTTTAACCTGCTTCACAGATATAGATATAGAGAATAACTGATACTCTCAGCACTGAACCTGAAAAGCCCAACATATACTGAGCAACGATATCCACCTTGATCTCCAGGAGAATGTTTGATACGTTTTGTGTGGGAAACACATTCTGATCACTACACTGTGCTGTTGCCAGTTTTGTCCCAGTCCAGCAAATATCCAGAGCAGTGTTCGCAGAGTCTAGCACCACCTACTGGGTCTGGGACATTCTTGGGTGTCGTATTTGAATGACCTAAGTATGGGAAAGGCCAGCAAACCAAGTCTTGGGAGAGATGCTTTCATCGCACATGTCGTACTGTTGAATTTTTAAGGGCATATTAAACCGATATACAGAGTTCAGGCGGAATGTTTTTTTTTCCCGAATAAAATGAATAAAATGCGCCATACTTCATAAACTCCCAGCACCTCCAGATTAGGCCATCGGACACATAGTTTAGATTGAATATTTTCCCATGATAGCTCAAGGTCCAAACTGATGCTGGGGGGCAGCTGGAGGCTTATGTTTCCCAGAGCGGAGCTCAGTGACCCCTTCATTAAGAGTCTTCATGGGCTTCATGTCAGCTCCAGAGTCGTGGCAGTAGAGACACAAGTTCCCACCACACTCTACCACAGACTGATTTCTCCCCCCGACCCCCCACCCGGAACCCCATTCAGATGACTTGACCAACAAAGACGTAAGCAGCCATGAGGTACTGAAAGCCCAACTCTGCCTCCTGCCAGTCAGCTCCAAGATGACAGATGCTCATTCACACCTACGGGTAAGTGGGAAGGTCACTTGAGCTGTGATTTGACCTTTAACCTCGCTCCTTGGGACACTGGGGAAACTGCAACCTTTACTGGGATCATGTATAAACACGCCGACTGGCCTTGTGAAATACTTCCAATGAAAGTGAGGATGAGCTTAGGGTTAGGTTGACCCAACTTCCTTGCGATACATACCAAGGTCCTAACCAGCCATTGATGACTAGAGTTTCTTGTCAGGACTCATTTCTTGTTGCCGATACCCAAGACAGATGTGTTTTTTTCTCGGTGTGTCGCAGATGCCCGCAATTAGTACTTGCACTTTAGGAAATTCTGTATCCAGAAGTCACACCTTCCACTCTATAAGCAAGGAGAGGATCAGCCATGAATCACCAAGACAACGACGAATAACTGTTGGTAAGAGAATTTGTTGCTCCTTAACTTGGCTAATGGAGCCTGCTGCAATGACAGAACTGTTTCTTATCTATTTCTACAGAAGGTACCTGATATTTTAATTGCTTTATCTCAACTAGGCCAATATGTTATAGCACTACTACTACCCTTGGCTAAATAGTTGCTTAGATTATACTTTTATCAGTACATATCATGCAAATGTAAAGGTTATCCACTTATGAAAATGTTTTTTTTTAAATAATAAGTGCTGTTCCTAAGGGGTTAAACAGCATATGTACTGTAAATGTACCATTTGGCCTTAAATTCAGTTTCTTAACTGTCACACCACCTGCAGGACTATTTTAAATGTCACACCACAGCCGAGGTAAAGATGGGTCTTCCTGACCACTAAGGTCAAAGGTCAGCCAGCTTAGCGGGAGCTGAAACCTGTGGAGTACTGTGGGAAAGAGACCTTCGACCTTAGACTTGACATTTTCCTCCCACTTCCGAGGCCTCGTGTTTATTGTTTAATCCTCTGAGTGCTTGGCTGACCGGAGGCGAGAGAGCAACACAGGGCAAAAAAAATCCAGCAGCCAACAGTGCAGCACTGTTAAGGTTCGGCTCATGGTGCTTGGCCCCCTCTCAGTTCGGGTCCCCAGCTCTGGTGGGAGGCCAGTTGTTTCAGTCGTGTCTATGCTGCTTATTTATGAGCTTCTTGTTGCTTGGGGGGTCCCATTGCACCCATCCATAGACAGCTGGAGACGTGAATCTAACCCCACCAGATCCTCCCTGCTGACCCTCCCCTGCCCCGATAACCCAGACACAGACCTAGCTTCCGCAAAATCCAAATGGCTCACTAGCGCCACCTAGTGCAGTAAACTTCCCCAAGATCTGTTATGTCTTTTTCGGGCAAGGTCTCAGCTGTTTTGACAATGTCAGAATTTTTTTTTGTTTCAGCGTCATTCGTCTCTCAGCCCAAAGACCAGAATGGGAATTACCCAAGAGAGGTAAGACAGCCTCTCTGCCAGAACTGCATCCACAAGAGGACAATAAAAATAATAAGGATACTTTTACATGTCAAAATTATTCTGGGTCTGTATTCCAGAAATCTAATTTCTGTGCGGGCTTCCAGACAGACTAGAATTATTGTTAGCATTGCTGAAATGATGTATCAAAACAGAAACACCAAAGAAATGGAACACTGTAGTGATTGTGTTTAAGATGACTGATGAATGATGCATTTGAGCTCAGTGTAGACCCATAACATGCATGGACAAACTTTCTAGGACACCGGAAGGCGCTGCGCCAAGGCGCTGGCAGAGCTTGACACGGACGAGGTGTGCCAGTGGTTTGCCAACCTCGGCCTGCACCATTGTCAGCCCTTTATTAGAGGTAAAGTGGCTCTTGGCCATCCCTTGGCGTGCTAATGTGTCAGTGATGGTTCTCACTGATGGCAGATAGCATTCCATCTCGGGGCCGCAGGCATCGAAACACGGGAGCGGAGAGCAGTACTCACAGGTGCTGAAGGTGTGTGACAGATCTGGGCTGTGTGTAGAGTCACGCAGAAACCTGAATATTTGCTAGCGGAAATATTAGCATAGATTCTGGCAGGGCTGTTCATCTACCTACCTTGTTTTCGAATGCTTGCCTCTCTGAACTCCCTACACTAACTTCTATGCATATTTTTTAAACTTGAATCCCTGGGGGGGTTGAACAGCCATTTGGAATTGCACCCCCAATGGTTTATTTTCTCCTATAACTATCCATGAATTTTTGTTTCCTGCGATATGTTGTTCTCTGGCTTTTTTCCACATAGACCGTTAAAATTTTATAGCATTAACAGCTGTCTGTATATGATGCTGTTTTTCATTAGATTTAAAACAAATTGTTATATTGTTGCTCTTTGTTAAGTACTTTGGGGCAACTATTTTCAGAGGGGTGCTACACAAAAATAAAATCATTTGAGTTTCCTTTACAATATCCTTGGCCTACCCTTAGCCTTTCTGTGTAGCTTAGGCAATCAACAACACTCCCATATTCTCTAGCAAATGTTTGTTTGAATCTTGTACTTCATATTGCTCTCCTTCTGTTTTAACATTTAAGATACAGATATTTGTAGATGTTGCATTCCTCAGGAGCGCATCTGCATGGATGTCACATCACCGCTATTGACCAGGATCTTCTCGACCGTATTCATGTGTCGACTCTGGAAGACCGGGAACGGCTGCTCTCGGCGGTTTACCAAGAGCTCCACCCCTCGGATGCCATCACGCAGACTGTGGACTCGCTGTTGGGTAACAGGAAGAGAACATGGGCACCCAGAGCCGGTTCTCGGAATTTCACACTATTCATCATTTAGATTTGACTACGGATTAGAACCGAACATTCTTGCCCTTTTTTGTGCTCCGGTTATGGGTCTCCTTAAGGGTTGCTGTTAAATGACGTGAATGGAAAAGATTTATGCTTTCTGCCGCACACAGATCTCTATGGCCCCCACAATGTGGAGAAGTTCACGGCAGCTTTGGCCTCCATGAGCAAAGAAATGTTTTCCCCTTATGGAAGCCACCTCAGTGACGGTCATCCATTTACTTTCAGGTGACACAAAGTATTTGAGAAAGTTCTATCAAAAACAATATTAAATACATGCAAAGAGCAGGATAATACATGTTTAAACCTTTGCGTAATGTTTGTTTGATTTAAGTTTTCCATGTTTCATTTTCCCACAGAGTCAAGGGACAAAATTTAAACAGGCAGAGGAATTCTCATCTGGTGGAGCTGAGCATAAATGGTCAGGAGAATTCAGTTTGTTTGTTTTGGTCATTTGGACATTTATATAATTTATCTGATGGGGTTCCCTGTGAATGAGGGCTCCAGAAAAGGTCATCAAGACTCTTCAGTGATACAGAGGAATGGGTGTCAAGGATAAAAACGAGAGGTATATAATTTGTCTTTGCAGTACATACATCAAAGGTGTAGCTACCAGTACAGGAGGTCAAGCAATATGCTTCATCTTTACTGGTGCAATATAAGGTATTATTTTTTAAAAAAAACAGCTAATAGTTGTAGGGTTTGTGACTAGCAGGTTGGGATGCCGTGATCGAAAGATTGCTGGGTGAAATCCCAGGGTCTGCAGAATGATGTCACTGTTGGGCCCCTGAGTGAGGCCCTTAACCATATCTGCTCCAGCTTTCTCAAAAAATATATGTAGTTTTGTATAAAAGCATCTGCTAAATGTAGTAATAATTTTAATTTCAGAAGCACAGCTACCAAACTATCAGCTAAGGAGTGATTTAGGAGCAGTCATGTGTCTACAAGGTAAGGGTCTTATCATACTGTGGGGCTCCTCCTTAAACCTGTTCTGAATGCTTATTTTCAGCTCTGGGCCAAATGGTCCACCTGAGGACACACAGAGAGACAACAGTCAGCAAGGTCATGGGCTCCTGCTTGGACATCCTGGGGGTGACCGAGGACCGGGGGCTATTTGGCCTGAGGAATGTGGAAGGTGATGGGCCTTTTGGGAAGATGTGCCTTTAGCTTCCGCCTGATCCACATCCCTTCTTTGCTGGAGGGAGCAATTGGGAATAACGGGAAACCCTCTTTGTCTTTTAAGAGCTTTCAGATGCTTTCTTGGTGGACCAGAAGATTGGAGATCTGCCTGGATCAGAGAAAAGAATGCCAGAGTTACAGCTTTATAAGAAGGTATGATTACTCTTGTCCTTCATTTTCATGCAGGCTTGATGCCTCTTAGGAAAACTTGCCATCTTCATATACATGTTTCCATGCATTACCAGCATTCTCCCTAACATTTGCTTGGGGGGAGGCTTTCTGGGATTCATCTCTATTCACTGGAGTTAATCCCCAAGCATCCAGACATCAGGTTCGCTGCAGAAGTGCAGATTTCGCAAGTCGTAAGTCATCCCGATGCACAGCACAGCTCCATCTTCGTTTCACATTTGCCCCAGAAAAATCAACACTTAAACGACACATTTTGTGTATCCTAGTTGTCTTTGTTTTAGGTTGGCTCTAGTCGTAGGTGCAAAATCCACAGCTGAAGCAAATAATCAGTTTTAGTGAATGTCATGGCACATTGACTAGAAGTACCTAATGTAAACAAAAACAAAAACAATGGCCAGTGTGCTGGAAAGTTTCTTACCGCTGTGTGGTCCACTTGAGTCTCATGCTACCTGCAGTCTCCTAGTTCTTTGAAGTATATGGTTGGAGGGTCAGTTCCGATGATCAAAAGCCCCTGCTGGTAAAAAATGCAGCTATGGTTTATTTGCTGTGAAAATAAATAAATGAGCGATTATTTTTAAGTGATGATTTGAGGTTGACCAACTCTTATTCCGCCTCATCTCGCATGCTGTCAGCATCTGTCCCACTTAGAATCATGCACATGAGGTGGAAACAGCCTTACTGTTGTTGCATTACCCACCCACATTGAAATAAAGTATAATAGGATGTTTGGTTTTGTTCTGTTGACCAATGCTACCTATCGAGACGTGCTATCGAGCCTTTCTGCGCATGTGCAGTTCCACCGTCTTAGGAATAGGGTTAGGTTTTAGGGGTTAGGTTTAGGGTTAGGTTTTAGGGGTTAGGGTTAGGGCTATCGATTAACTCGACAAAGTAGCTCAACTCGTCAGAACAGGTTCTGCTTGGTTACTTGCATATCATTCATTTGCCTGTGATTCAATTTAAAGATCCAGGTTTATTGAGAGCCTGCTGTTCATCTTCTGAGGGAGTAACCCATTACCTCTGCCCCCAGGATAAGCCTGGGAATGCTGAGACTCCACAGCTGACCCAGCAAGCTTTGTTGTCCAGTTCCCAAAGTGATGCAGACAGGATCCATGAGCTGACCCAACAGGTGGAATCACTACAGGACATTGTTCAGCAGGTGTGATCGTGCTGATCTATTAAAATAAAACTGAGAGATTATGTATGGAAGTTGCTGTGTTGCCATGTTACTGTGTTGAAGCCTTTACTAATGTAGTCAAAGAATGAGGTATCTCCATTTAAATGTACCTTCAGTTCCTCTAGTTCTTTAACCAGTTTCACCAGTTACTCCATAAGGTCATCAACCCTAGCCTAGCCTTCCCTGTTTTGCAACTGACTATCACTGAATCCATCCCTACTCCCCAGGTCCAGGAGCTTCACCAAAGCCTAGTCTCTTTCTACTCTGAGCTGAAGAACATGGAAAACATATCTCCAGCTCAGGACCAGGGCCTGGCTGAGCTGGAGAAGCAGATGGGACACACTAAAAGCAGATGTCAGGAGACCCAACTGAGTATCCAAGTCTTACAAGACCAGCTCTGTCACCTTGAGGCCAGCAAAAACAGGAGCTTACCTCAGAGGTGGTCATTGTGATGTATTTTCAAGGTGGTGTGTGTCAATGACCATTTTACTTGTCTTCTCATTTATACATCTGTACTTGCTGGATCACCACATACTGGATACACATTATTTAAATAGTTCGGTTTAAGGGTGATAACTAATAAATCCTATTCCAAAACCTCTACACATCTGCTGCGCATAAAATATTTTTTCCTGGTGTTATCACCGGCTCCGGGGCTTGTTAGGGTAATGACTGTTAACTCTTGGCATTTGTTCAGTCCTCTTCTTTGCCAAATAACCTGATATTGTGGGAGTGCCTGAATAAGAGCTCAGAATTCATACTTTGTACACTGTGTTTAATCTTGTTCGAAAGGGGCGAAAAAATCTTGTTTCTCAAGTTCATACAGTTGAGACTATAGAAGGTTTATACAATGCAAGTCTGCACACATGAAATATGGAGGATATTAATCATGTTTATAGCCTCTTTCATAATGTTTTTTGTTGGATAAACCAGCCTATTGTGGAAACAACAACAGCTGACGTTTAAGCGAGCTCTATTTGACAGGAAATAAAGGACCTACAGTAAATAAATCAGCTGGTTTTATTATTCTGTCACTGGCTTCCCTACACTGTCCGTACCGCAGCACCTACCAACCAGAACTGGAAACTGTTGTCATTGTAGCCATTTGTCTGCCTTATCGAGAACAGGAACACAAGCGTTTGGCCTATTTTAGCTGCTGTCCTAGCCTGTTAGCTGCATCTCTCCGTGAGAACATAGATCTCCCTCGATAGCTCAGCAGCCACTTCACCGGCGAGGAAATCCTTTCGATGCCATTTCGTCTCCCAGTACTTCTCAGTGTTCAGTTACAGTCTCCCAGTTTTTGATTAATTATCTGGCTTTTTTTTTTTATGGCGCTGAGAGCTCTTTAGCATTGATAACATTGACCAAACGGGGGACATTCATCAGTAGTTAATTGTCCATTTATCTTCTGGGTAGGCTATTTCAGCACACAAAGCAGAACAATTTCTTCATGACTCTTGTATGCCTCCGCTCTGATGGAGGTCGGTGACTTGTTTACGTTTGTCTTACAGAGGTCATGACCAACTGGACATGCTTTGTATTATTTATGTATGTACAGTACATGTGCTTTTGACAGCATGATGAGCAGAACACTGTGACAATCTGTTAACCTTGAAAAGTATTTATACCTGCAGGGACGTGTTTCTCAAACAAGAAAACACAAGTTGGTAAGAGGTTACTTTCGACTGTAGCAGCTAAATCTTTTGTGCGAGTTAAGCTGGTGTTACATTCCTTCTGATGTCTAACTGAGTGATGTCTGAGCCATTGGCAGTATTTGAGCTGCTAGCTTCCCTGTTTCAAAGCTCTCCCGGCTGTCTAGGTTTGGTTTTCACATAGGAGGGTGGAGTTGCACTTTCTGGAGAAGATGAAGCTGGACGGGGAAATCTTTAAAGAGGAGATCCACCTCATCCACTTGAGTGGACAGGTGGTACAGCTGGAGTCTGCGAAATCATATGTCCTTTTCACCCTATTTACCAAAGCAGAGTTGAGGGTTTACACTGTGCTCCACTGGTACAGTTCCAGAGGTCCTAGGCCATGATGGAGAAACTGAAGACCCATTGCACTGTGTAAGAAAGGCAGTTTGAGGAAGGAAAGCTCTTCTGTGTGCAGAGAAGGATGAATCATCACTGAGACAGGAGATGTTGTGCCCTATACTTGATGTCAGGTGCTACCCTGAATGAAAAAGGTTTAGCATACCTAGTCACCCATCCCTCCATTAATTCTATCCATCCATCCATCCATCCATTTTCTGCCATTTATCTGGGGTTGGGTCATGGGGGCAGCAGTCTAAGCAGGGATGCCCAGACCTCCCTCCCCCAGCTTCCTCCTCCAGATCCTCCGGGGAATACCAAGGCGTCCCCACGCCAACCGAGAGATATAATCTCTCCAGTGTGTCCAAGGTCTGCCCCGGGGCCTCCTCCCAGTTGGACGTGCCCCAAACACCTCCCCAGGGAGCCGTCCAGGACGCATCCTAGATAGATGACCGAACCACCTCAACTGGCTCTTTTCAAAGCGGAGGAGCAGTGGCTCTACCTTGAGTCCCTCCCGAATGTCCGAGCTCCTCACCCTGTCTCTAATGCTGAGTCCAGACACCCTGCGGAAGAAACTCATTTCTGCTGCTTGTATCCATGATCTCATTCTTTTGGCCATTACCCAAAGTTCATGACCACAGGTGAGGGTAGGAATGTAGATCAACTGGTAAATTGAGAGGTTCGCCTTCCAGCTCAGCTCCCTCTTCACCACAACAGAATGGTACAGCGTCCGCGTTACTGCTGGCGCTTCACCAATGCGTCTGTCAATCTCCCGCTCCCTTCTTCCCTCACTCTTGGCCATCCATCCATCTTCTTATTTAATGTTGGATTCCAGACTTGGCTTGGAGCCCACCTCAGGAAACTCAGTGCACAACGCAGGTGAACATCCTGCTGAGTATTTTCAGGAGACTGTTTAGTGCAACAAGGCCATGTGTTACATTTAACCACGACGCCCCCTGCTGTTCATCAGTGTTGTAGGTACATAGCGACATCCAGCTCCAGTCTCATCCGGTGCCTATCCACACCAGCAAGCCTCCTCCGCACGTATAGTTCCTCAAATGAGAGACATATTATGGATATTGGGCCTTAAGTGCTTCCTGCTGCAGTGATTTAGCTGTCGAGATTTAGTGGGAGAGTCTGGCGGTAGACAAGTATGATCTGCTGGTGGCGCAGTCACTGCAAAATCACAGGACGATCCTGTCCTTTCTAGGTCACGTGTGAGGAGAGTGATCTGTACTGTGTGGGAGGGTGACAGCTTTGTGGCTTGCACATGGAGGTCATCTACATCTCTAACACTTGCTCCGTCATTGAAGGTTTTAGTGGAAAATATAGATCTTATGTGTCTCTGTAATGGGAAGCCTATGGCCTATAGTAGACATGTCCTATGGACATAGATATCTGGCCCCCATTAATATCTACATCGAACCAGCCTGAGTGGATGTAAAAGCATGGGGGGATGCAGGACTACCTGTAATTATGCTGAAGCTGTAATGCTGTAAGGCAGCTTTGTGAGGGTGGAAACACTCTAAGGCTCTAAGCATGACATACGTACCAGGTCCAGATGTTTGGTGTGGGGTGGGTTGTGGGGGGGGGGCAGCCTGACCATTGAAGGACTACAGTATGTGTATGAGCCTGCAGCACTTCCAGAGCCTGATTACAGGAAATAAGAAAATATTTCATAATTGCCAAAATTCCTCAGGACTGTGGAGCATGTGCAATGCAGTCGATGGCAGAGTGCTGTGTGGTGTTTTTTTGGACATTCACATCATGGGGGCTTGTGGGACACCACTTGAGAAGAACTTTCTGGAATGTTCTCCCTTCCCTCCCTCTCATTCTTCAGCTGTCTTGAGGTGAGCTGTTAAGCCCTGGGCACCAGCCCCCCCCCCCCCATCACTAGCTGGCCAGCAGAGCACAAAGATGCTGGTGATTTAGCTCGACTCCAGCTTTGGTTCCCTCGCTGTCATGTGGGTTAGGAGACCTGGAGGTTCTGTTCCTGGCGTGCAGCCCTATTCCGTTCTATTTCATGAAGATTAAAAAGCAGGACGGCCGGCGGCCACAGCTTGTTCTGAACCAGGTCAAATCCTTTGCCTGGTCCCAGCTTTGACGTGGGAACAATGCAGCTTGGTCAGCACATGTGACATCACCCAGGCCCGGAAACATTCGTCTGCATGACATAACGTTGGCTGAGAGTGACTGTCTTTGTGAGCACGCTCTGAAAATTGGGGTCGACCTCCTTTTCACTATTGATTACAATCCTCCCCCTCTCACGTCGCTCAGCAGTTACCCAGCTTGCACATGCTCAGTGACTTCTCCGCCCCCCTGCCCCCATCTGTCGTTGCGTGTATTCTTGCCCCATGTACAACCCCATCCTGTGTGGCCAAGTGTTTTCATACGTCGGTTACAATCCAGCCCCCCCTCACCACTCCCAGACAGACGGACCCGTCAGCGTCGTCCAAGAGCAAATGACCTGTAAGAAGTAAAATTCTTTGGTGGGAGGCAAACTTCCAACTGGGATGGAATATAAACAAAAGGCTGCATATGCATCATCATTTTCATTTTTTCGTGTATTTTTTGCTCATAATCCCCCCCCCTCCCAGTGCTATAGAAGAATTACGGGCATCCCCGTTCTCTTTCATCTTACTGTTTGGAAGCGCGTGCAGACTTCCAGTCGTGACCTGCATGAGGGAACAACTAGCTAGACCAGTAATACATTTTTATGCGCTTCAGCACATTTTTACGTAGCTTTGATAGTGAGGCGTTAATTTAATGTTCTCCCCCTCCCTTCCTGAACAGGACAAACACAAATCACCTATGCTTGGTGAAGCTCTCTCACTCGCCCCCCCTCTCTGATTGAGGGGTTTGCTCCCCCCCACACTGTCACTGGTCGTTTTCACTTATTATTATGCTATTATATACTTGTTTTGTTAACTTGTTATAATAGTTATTATAACAATTATTTTAATGGTTATGTTAACTATGTTAACTTAATAAGTTGCTATTTTTCTTCTACCCCTTTATGCTGCTGCTGTCATCTTATTTACATATAAACCCTTGCAGCCACCTCCCCCTGCTTCACGCTCTGCTGTGTTTTGCACTTTAAGCACAGGTAAAACCCTCTGCTTGCGGGTTGGGGTTGCCAGGTTGGGGGCTCAGAGTGCTGCTGGTTGCGTCCGGAAAAAATCAGATCCCTCTGTACTGCAGTTCCAGATATGGATTTTGGCCTCAGGAGGCCAATCGCAGGAGCAGCAGAGCCCGGCTGGGGAGAACAGCTTTACCGGGCAGCAGGTGGCGGCCCAGACAGAGAATTAGTATCTCCAGCCCAGCAACAGGTGAGAGACTGACATCAAACATGGTGCAGGTACCTGAGAGCCACATGCATCGGCTTGCCCATTTAATACTTGCGTGGAAAACAGTCTCTGCTTCTGACGTCGCTGTGCGTGACCTGAGCTAAGCCTCCAGCCTTAAACTCGAACTCGTCCCTCTAAGCATTGCAATGCTACATACGTGCTCACAGCACCGTTGCCTTGGACATGGCCATCCGATATTGGTGTAATTACATTGTCACGCCACCAAATGCTGTGAGGTCCAAAGGGACATGCTTTGAGGTGGCCCCGAGGGTTCTAGAAAGGCACATCACGAATCTGACCCCTCTTCCAGGCGGGGGGTGGGAGGGGCGACTCTCCTGAAAACAAGCACCCACACATTTGAGAGTCCTTGTGTTTCTGTGGACTTTCCACTTCAGCGGCAAGGCGAAGCCTTTGAAGTCTCCCACTACACTTTCTATTATGTTTTGCATCAATTTTTTTTCACCC